AGGGTTACAGATCCCAACTGCTAAGGTATTGAAGGAGAGGCAGGATCAAGGAGAAGAGCTTTTCTGCTGTAGCCCTATCCCCATGGGACGCTCTGCCACAGCAGAAGAGGCTGATCCTGTCTCTGCTTCAATATCTTAGAAGTTGGGATCCATCACAGCCTCTTCCACTGGCACAAGTAGGAGGTGCCGGTCCCTTCGGGATGAGACAGCTCCCCAAATACCCTGGACTGATGCCATGTAGGGCTTTAAAGGTAACAACCAACAATTTGAATTGGATCTTGAAGCAAACTGACAACCAATGCAGCTCACACACCAACAATGTTATATGTGCAGCCCTAGGAGCTCCCAGGACTGTGCATGCCACACTGCATTCTGCATCTCCTGTGGGAAATGCCCCTCCCTTTGAGCCTTTCAGGAGGGTCTCAAAACCCGGCTTTGTCAGTTGGCCTGGGGCCCCGAGGGAGCCACTCACTGCTGGAGGTGGCTGATGGAGTAAGAAGACCTTATCCCCGTCCCATCCTTCTCTTGGCTCTTGTAGGTGTGGCTTTGGTGCAGTTTTTAATAAAATTTCAATGCTTTTTAAATCTTTTAATTATTTTTCACTTGTTATAATTTGTAAGATGCCCAGAGTCACCTTGTAGGGGAGATGAGCGGCATAGGAATTTAATAAATAAATAAATAAATAAAATAAAGTCACTTTTTCCAGCGCCGTTGTAACTTCCAACAGTCACTAAATGAATGGTTGTAAGTGGAGAACTACCTGTACTGAAGATAATGGACTCACTTCTGGAAAAAAAAAAAGATTAAGGAACATTTAAAAGCGCTCAGCTCGATGGATGCAAAGCGAACTCAGAGCTTTACTGAGAGGGGAGAGGGGGGCAGATCATGTCAAACTAACCTGACTGCCGTTTTTTTCTTTTTAACTATGCCACAAATGTTGTGGATGAAGATGGTGCTGTGGACGCCGAGCACCTGAAGTTTAGCGAAGCGTTTGATCCGTTCCACTTAATGAGCTCATAAGAAAGTCGTACAGGCCAGAGCTTAACCAAGGGGTGGTTCAGTGGATAGGAAGCCGACTCAGGGACAGATCCCAGTGTTGTTGTGGTTGTTAATGGGCCACTGTCTGAATAGAGACCCATCACAGGCGGCTCAGCCCCAAGTCCTGTTCTATTCTATGTGCTTCCGAGGGTTATAACAGAAGGGTTCCTGGGTAAGGTCTGTCTTTTTGCTGATGACACAAAGATGTATAATAGAGTTGATGTTCCTGCGGTATTCATAGCATATAAAACAATTTGGCATTTCTGGAAAATTGGTAAAAAATGTGGAAACTGCAGTTCAATGTTTCTAAGATCCTGCAGTTGGGGACAAAGAATCCCCTGGCAGAATATGGTGCTGGGGGATCTGTGTTAGACAGAACCACAGAAGAAGTGGATTTAGGGGTGTCACAGCAGATGAGGGTGACCTGAATGTGGCCAGGCAGCTGTGACGGCAACAAAATTCTGGCATGCATCACGAGAGGGGATTCCCAGCAGGAAGGAGGAGGTCCCCATCCCGTTACAGAGGGCTTCAGTCAGACCTCCTTTGGAATCCAGTGCCCAGTTCTGGTGACGCCACTTGAAAGAAGATACTGACAAGACAGAGACGAGCAACAAAAATGGCACAAGGTCTGAGGGACAAAACACATCAGGAGAGATGGGAGGAACTGAATATGTACAGCTGGAGGACAGAAAGAAAGGAGGGCATGATTGAAATGTTTAAATATATTAAGGCTGTGAATAAGGTTCTAGAAGCAGTATTTTCAATACTGAGCAAAAATCAAGAACACGGGGGCATAATTTCAAGCTGATAGGAGGGGAGTTCAGAAGTCACGTTAGAAAGGTTGACTTCAGAAAAGGTGTTGTGGAAGCTTGAGAATCAATGTCCAGTGGAGATTGTGGGCCAATCGTCAGTCGCTGAGCCGAGTTCTTCCTAGTGTCACCCTCACGGTCTCTCCCCGGCTCTGCTCTTTTTGTTTCAGCGGTGAGCGGCTTCTTCTCTGCCAGCTGCATTCCGACGGCCGAGAAGGAGGGCTACCCGGCCAACCTCTGTGAGCTCTGCATTGGGGACAGCCAGGGGAATTTCAGGTGCAACGCCAGCAACCAGGAGACATATTATGGCTACACAGGAGCCTTCAGGTAATGAGAGAGACAGGCGGCTTCACTTCCAGTTTTAGGAAGGAGCAAACTTCACTCCTTGTCCTCTGGACTAAGTCACTCCTTTCTTTCTGATTGAGTGGTATTCAGCATGGCAAGTGCTGAATGAAAGTGCAAAATGGAGAAGCGCTGAGTTTTATCTATATTTGGATGTCAAAAATATGCAGAAGATGTTACCTATTTTTAATGCCTTTTGTACTTTGGCTACCTTCTCCCCCACCCCCACCCCTGCCACCATCCCTCCCAGCTATCCAGGCACTGTGGTTGGGAGAGAGGAAAGAGCCAGTTTCTCCTCTTCCTTGGAATAAATGGAAGCATTATTTTGCAGAGAAGAGAGAAGCAGGGTGCACGGGCTGCTCTTGGGGCCCCTGGTTGATCTTGGGGGGGGGGGAGGCCTAGCTTGTACCTCTGCAGCAGAGTGGCTAATGGGGTTAATGATCTCTTTGCAGATGCTTAGCAGAGGGTCATGGTGATGTGGCTTTTGTCAAGCATAGTTCAGTCTTTGAAAACACCGATGGTAGGTGAGCTCTTTCGTTATATGGCTGTGTTGACTGTCATGTCTGAAATGCTTCAGCCTCTCTTTCCTTCTTTCAGGGCACAATAGTGATGACTGGGCCTCAAGGCTTCGGTCTGGTGATTTCCAGCTCTTGTGCCCAAACGGTGCCCGTGCTGAAGTTGACCAATTTGCTGGTTGTCATTGGGGCCAAGTGCCTCCTCGTGCCATTATGGTCCACCCAGACACCAATGCCCTGGTTGTATATGGACTTCTGGATAAGGCTCAGGTAGGCTTAGCCTGAGAAGTGGGAGGAAGCCTGCTACCTTTGTTACTCATTGGCATGATGGGGCCATTTGCTTTTCTCCTTTACTTTTTAGGAGGGTTCCAGTCTGGTTGGGCGAGTCTACCGTTACTAAACCAGGCTGGGAATACCAGATGAGGGACTTTACCACTAGCTTGTTAGTTATTTTTTTTCTGCTCTAGTTTATAGAAATAGAAGACATACTGCAGGAGATAAAAACTAACTTGGTTTGATTTCTACACTATGCCAAGAAAACAAGGAAACAAACATTGAAACAACCTAGCTGTGCTTACTCTGTGAATGCAGCCACTACAACTTTACCAGACCCAATTAAGCACGCTGAGTAAACCCAAAGAGGCAATTATATAATAGGCAACCTGAACGGTAGCTGTGGTGATGTCATTTGCAAATGATCAGGCAGAATAGTTCCTCTATTCTGAACCATTCAATTCCCTCTAGAGTGTTTGTCTCAGTAGTGGGTTTCAAAACCCGGTGCTACCAGTTCGCTATCGGTAGCGCGTGGGTGTGCTTGCTCGCTTTGGTAGCGCGCAGTGCATGTGCAGATCCATTTTTGATGACGTCTGGACAGGTGGGCGGAGCCTCCCGCCACCACCACTACCAGTTCACCCAAACTGGGGCAAACCGGGAGCAACCCACCACTGGTTTGTCTAGATGTCATCCCGAGATGCAGGAAAACAAAAAAGAATACTGTAAAGAGGAAAAAGAATTAAAGGGATTTGAATTAAGTCCTACAAGGAGAGATCAATGGAAGTGGTGTTTTGAAGCTAAGAGGGGAAATCAGAACTTATTCTTTGCTGTATCATAAAGAACACCACCAGTGTGTTGTGATTATGGGGCTGGAGGACCCCATTCAAGGGTACTCTGAGACCAGCATGGCCCTCTTGCAGCTCAACCTGACTACCAAGATTGCTGTTGTAGGAATAAAGGAAGATCCCCATGTAAGTTGTTGCCTTGAGACCCTGGAGAAATGGTAAGCTAGTAATGCACATACCATCAGAGTGAAGGATATGGACCAGTGGTGGGATTCAGCCAGTTTGCACCACTTCGGGAGAACTGGTTAACTTTCTGAGCAGTTTGGCAAACTGGTTGTTGGAAGAAATCATTAGAGCAGAGAACCGGTTGTTAAATTACTTGAATCCCACCACTGATATGGACCAACGGACTTAAGCCACAGGCGACTTATTCTGATGGAAAGTTAGAACAAATACTTAAAAGTGAGTAAAAGAAGAACAATTCCCTTCCTCACCCATTATGTAAAACACATTTCTTGAACCAAAGTCCATAACATGGGCCACATAAAAATATTTCTTGGACAAGTGCTATAATAAAGGATTCTGTGCTTTTGATACATGCAGCATTTATATGGGGAAGTGCAGGAACATGAAGGATGTAATTCAATTGTTCCAGAAGGCCAGCCACATCACTGAGAAGGCTGGCTGCCAGTTCCAGGGAGAGAGGGCAACCGTGGAAGAGCAACCCTGCAGTCTGGAAAGAACTAGCGGACAGACCTGCTGCCTCTCCTCCTTACATCTCCAGAGGCTGCTCTTTATCCAAGGTGTTCGGTTTATCACGGCTGAGTAGCCATCTTGTTAACAGAGATTTGTTTCCTCACATATTATAGCAGCAGCAGTTACAGACAAGACAAAAACCATGGGCTTATTTGTATGGGCAGAGCATGCGATGTGGGTACTGCATCTTCTCAGCCTGGTTTAGGGTTTGGCATGCTTGGACGCTCGTGCTCCCTGGGGACTGGAGTTGCCTGGGATCTGCAGCATGGCAAGGCCTGTACGCTAGGCGAGCCTGGCTGCTCCCTTTACTCCAAAGGGCAGAGGGCCCCACAGGGTCCCCAGCAGCTCCTGGCAGAGCACAACCCTGGGCAGAGGGCTTCCTAAGGGACCACAAGTGTCTGTTAGTAAAACGCTTGCTTAATTTTCAGGATTTCTTTGGCAATGACAACCAGAATCAATTTAAAATGTTCAGTTCATCAGAATTCCAAAAGCAGGATTTAATCTTCAAGGATTCTACGGTTAAAATTGTGCCAGTGGGAGAGAGAAGAACATTCGAGTCCTGGCTGGGGCAGCCGTTCCTGGACTCTTTAGAAGGGATCCTGGAATCCTCCTCCCAGTGCTCAAGAGCTGGTAAGCCCATCGTGCTGTGGGAAGTCGTCCCCCTTTCTGGTTAACAAGAAAAATAAATTATTTTAGGAAGACCCTCAAGTGTCTGGGCTGGTAATGTAGAGGACCTCCATTCCATTTATGGAAAGTCAGTCTGGAGACAAAAAATGACCCATGTGCCTCCCTGATTCAGGGAGTCTCTTGTTCCTTTCAGCTTTTAAGGATTGAATGTGTGGGGTGTATGTAAGGTGTATAGGTAGTAAATAATAGGGCTTACTTTTCACATGCAGCCAGTACTCCGTTCTATTGCAAACATCTGCAACAAACAGATGCAGCAGAAACAAAGCCATTTACACACTCAACTGCTTTCAATGTGGAGACCCATTTAGCCAAATCACCAGAATGCACCATCCTGGGGTGGACTTCAGGCTGACTCCCTAAGTTCAGTCTAGAAAGATTGCTAATAATGCTTTTATGTCTTTATTCTTATTACGCTCCAGCAACCAAGTCTCTGAATGTGATTCTCCTCCTGATGACAATTCTGACTCTTGCAACAATTTTCACTTCGTGAGCCACAGCTCAGATGCAACAATACAAAATACAACCACAAGACTTAAAAATTAAGCAGTCCTCCTGGAATCAGTCAACAATTGTGGAATATTCAATTTTCCTCCCTGGCATTCTAAGGGTGAATTGATAAGATTCACAGATTTTCAGTGACCTTCTTTGCACAAAATGCTGAGACATAATGGACTTGGACATCATATAAAATCAACAGCACTGAAGCCAGAATCGGGGCCTTCTCTTTGCCTTTTCATTCCAATCGTCTCACTTGGGAGTCCGGGGGCTGCTCCTTTTCTTAACTGTGCTGATACGGAGTCCGGTAAGAAAGACAAGGAGACATTCTTGGTTGTACTTACGTCTACTGTCTTATACATGCTTGAAAAGATTCATTACAGCATGCAACTCTCTTTGCTCTGGAACACAACAATTGATGTACATATTAAGTGACAGGAGATTCTTCTTGTGGACTAGAAAGCATGGAGAGTACCAAGAGCAGATAAGACAAGCATGGATGATTTTCTTGCCATTTCTGCTTTGGCAACACCCGTGGCACCATCAAAGGCAAAAGGACTCCCCCCCCAAGGCTACAGGATCCAACCTCAACAGATAAAACAGGCTGATTGCAAGACTGTCCTCCACCGAGACATAAGACCCTGTTTTGGATATGGCCTGTTCAATAAAAGTCTTACTTGCTCACAGGAGCTCTAAAACCTCGATGTATTTTGTAGATACGAGATAGGAACATTTTTAAATAAAAATATATATTAAATATAACAAAAAAAAAAAATAACAACCAATAGGAAATTAAATAATATGAGAACCAAAAAAGATAAGCTTAAAAAATAAACAGAAAAAAGAAAAGCTATGCATTTGTACCATAGAGCTGAGTTAATTTGAGTCAGGCTGAATCCAAGTTGAATAAAATACACAAATCAATTTTTAATTAAATTAAATTAAACCTTGATCGCATAAAATTGTATCAATCAGTTTTTTACCTTGCTGGCAGAAGCTCATATATAGAAAGGGAATGCATGTCTTCTATTCTGCTATTAAATCGTATGTACTAGTCTTTCCACCAGAATAAAACAATTTTCATAACTCCTGTCTGTACACAATACATTCTCCATTCTTTGATATTTCCAAATTTTCAGAGTATTATTTAGCATCATCTGAGGCTTTTCTTTTTCAACACCCATTTTCAATCATGTATGTTATACCAAAATACTATCTCTGTAAAACAAGTTCCAAATTACATTCCTTCTGTTTCGCTTCCAACAGAGGTTGAAATCTCAGCTTTGCTCCACATGCTCCAGAACACCCAGCAGACTGAAAATGTATGGAATTGGATTACTCTCATAATTTCAAACGACTTGCAAGTTTCCCTTGTCAATAGTAAATAAAAACTGACTCTTTCTCTAACAATAGTAATAATGTACCAGGTTGAGAAGCAATTAATGCATCACATCCAAGTAACAGAATAATGGAGTTAGAAGGGAACTTGGAGGTTCTCTTGTCCAACCCCCTGCTCAGGCAGGAAACCCTATACCATGGCTGTCCAATCTCTTAACAGCCTCTGGTGTTGGAGCACCCACAACTTCTGAAGGCAAGCTATTCCATTGGTTGATTGTTCTTACTGTCAGGAAATTTCTCCTTGGTTCTAGGTTGTCTTCCTTGGTTAGTTTCCATCTACTGATTCTTGTCCTGCCTTCAGGTGCTTTGGGAATAGGTTGTCCCCCTCTTCTTTGTGGCAGCCCCTTAGATATTGGTTGGAACACTGCTATCATGTCGCCTTTTCTTTTCACTAGACTAAACAAATCCAATTCCTGAAACTATTCTTCATATGCTTTAGCTTCCAGTCCCCTAATCTCTGTTGCTCTTCTCTGCACTCTTCCTAGTCTCAATCCCCATTAAGTTGCCCACTGAAGTATCTATTTATCTACTCAGAGTTGCCTACTTTTGGATTGCTGAGTCAGCAGGAGGTGGCGCTGGGAGCCCACCCCATCCCGCAGCAGCAACCGGGTCTCGAACGCAAGCCTGCCTGTCATCCTATCGGCATTCTACCCTCATGAGCCACCACACTACTCCAGATTTAGGTTACCTAGGTCCTAGCACAATCCAACTACTTTTAAACTACAATAATTATAGGTGTCTGGTAAAAACCATGACACTGGCACCATTTATTATTTATTTATTTTTGATTGATTGATTGATTGATTGATTCGATTTATATGCCGCCCTTCTCCGGAGACTCAGGGCGGCTTACAATGCATTAAGCAATAGCCTTCATACTTTTGTATATACCTGCTTAGTAGGGCTTTTGCCCCCCTGTTCTTTTTTATACAAAGTCAGCTTATTGCCCACACAATCCGGGTCCTCATTTTACCTACCTCAGAAGGATGGAAGGCTGAGTCAACCTTGAGCCTGGTGAGACTTGAACTCGCAGTAATTGCAGGCAGCTGGCAGCTAAGTGCTACTTAACAGCACTTTAGTCCTCTGCACCATCAAGGCTCCTTGTTGACCATTGGTCAACATACAAATATGTCAAGTATTTGCAGAGATGCCTGCCATCCCGGTAAGGACTCCCCTGCCTGAACTCTCCAAGATGGCGCCTACCGCCAGAGACTCCCCTCACAGCTTCCCGCTAAACAAAATGGCCACCAGCTCCCTTCTGGAGCCAACTTCCCCCAAGATGGCTGCTCCCCTGGGCACTTTGCCAGAACCACGGTCCAGGCCTACAACGCCAGCCAGTCAGTTCAGCACTCCAGTGGCCCAGAGGACCACTCCGAACCTACAAGCTCCTTGCCAGGCCCTGCCTACCACGGCAAGCAAATTAGGGAGCAACCACCCACCAGCCACCCCGAGGTCCCAGACCCACCTCATCTGATGTGCCTCCAGTCTCCTGAAAGATCTCCAGGCCTTTTCCAGTTCCTCCAAGGTTTCCCCTCTACACAGCTGATTTTCGGGCCTATGCTGAGGCTTCAGCCAGGCCTGACTTCAGAACCCAGAGAGGGAGATCAGAGCTCCAACAAGAAAAGGCTTTGGAGCATGCTCCATTTCCTGCACGTGCCCAGTTGCTTCAAACTACAGCAAGACTACAAGGAGCCAGACCTAAGCAGTCAATCCCAGGCTTAGGGATCCCAATGCCATTCACAACAGGCTCTTTTCAGCCCTTTGAACAACTCCCCATGCAGTTTAATGGTAATAGTTTTGTAACTTTGCCAAATAAATTTGAAAAATTACATTTAAGTGGTCAGAATTTTTAAAAATGGTGTAAAGAGATTCAGATAATTCTTCTAAGAGAAAATACTCTGGACATCATCAAAAGGTCACCTCCTTTACCTTGGAGCCCTGAAATCGAGTTCCTGCATAAAAGAGCTTACACAGCCCTGTTAAGTTCTATAGACACAGCTCTTTATGCCAGTCTTTCAGACGGCCTCACAGCTCAGGAAGTTTGGACTGCCCCATATAATTTGTTCCATAGTGACAATATGGCTGCAACCAGCAGATTGTCAAGAATTTTTCACAATTATAAACTCAAACCTGGAGACAAGATGGGGGAACATTTGGCAATGCTTAAAGACACGAGGAATGAGCTTATACAGAGGGGGGAGCCTGTTCCTGAATCTACTTTAATCAGTGTAATTTTGAACTCCCTAGATAAATCCTGGGTCCCTTCATTATTTCTCTAGAAGAGATTTCTAGGGAACAAAGAAATATAGAATTCTTTTCTGGTCGCTTTATTGAGAAAGATTTAAGGTGCAGAGATGAGGAACAACAAGAAATGAAGGAGGCATACCACAGGCCTAGGCCTCAGAGGAGGCGCCAGGACACAAGTGAAAGGATTAATACCCTTCCCACCTGCTTTGACTGTGGCATGCAAGGTCACTTTAAAAGGGAGTGCCCTCGCTCTAGGGCCAACACGGCTGGACCTAAGCATAATAAAAATAAAAGAGGCCGTGGAGGAGGGGGAGGTGGTCATAAAGGATACCAATTCTGTAGTGTCACAGGTGACAATCCCACCTCCCAGGTACAGGATGCTGAGGGGCTGTGGCTTCTTGATTCAGGTGTATCAACGCATATAGCCTTGAGCCAAGTGACACTTGAACTCGCAGTAATTGCAGGCAGCTGGCAGCTAAGTGCTACTTAACAGCACTTTAGTCCTCTGCACCACCAAGGCTCCTTGTTGACCATTGGTCAACATACAAATAAGATCCACTGTATAATATGCATCAAGACTTAGAGAACATAATTTTATCTTGTGAATGACAACATGTGCTTAGGTCGGACATTGCCCCTGCCCCCATGCTATAAACCCTGCCCCTTCAGTGGACGCATTTGCTTAACAGGCACATCTGGGCCAGTAAACTGTCCAGCATGCACACAATGGCATTGTGGAGTCTTTTTTTAATGGCTTAATCAAATTCAATTTACTTGATTAGGTCTCACTTTATTACTAAGGAAATAATAATTAAAAACATCGTAGGAACAGAGGCAATTAGCCTGCAATTCAGGCAATTTTCAGGCAAAATTTCGTGAGCTCCTCCAGGTCCTTTAATGCTTCTTTTCTTCCTGCTCATCTAACGGTTCTATCCATAAAACGTTGCTTCGCATCAGTTGAAGCTGTGCAGTGAAACTTCGATCGAAGTAACTGGCTGTGCTCCCCCACCCCCCGCCGCGGCTGAGCAACTAGCACCGGAACAAACCCAAATGGTCCTTGTCGGCGCAGAGCTCCGGTTCGGGCTCAGCATCGGGTCCGGTCCTACTGCGGAAAAAGGGAAGGGGGTATTCGTTGCCCCGCCTATGAGCGCCTCTCTCCGGAGCAGAAACCTCTTCTCCGCCGGGCCCAAGACCCTCCGGGGCTCCTCCAGCCGCCGCAGGGGACACCTCGGCAGCGGCTCCGGTCCCCGCGCCGTCTCCAACTCGGCGACCGCCCGGAGCTCCCGTGGGGGAGGAGGGGCTCAGCCTGCCCCGTCGGGAGAAGGGTCCGTCGCTCGGGGCTCAGTCTCCGCTCCGGAGGGGACCAAACGACGCCGCCCGGAAGCCCCGCCTTTCCACACATGCGCAGTTCGTCCAGAAAAGAGGGGGGCCTTACGGGCTCCGTCCCTTCTTCGGGCCGGGGGGGCGAGAGGACCAGCCGGTGTCCTTTGCGCGCGCCGCTTCCTCCTTCAGCTCGCGCAGGAAGGTTTCGCGCAGGCGCAGTCCGCGGGTGAGGGCCACGGCCGTGAGGCGCGCCGCCGCCCGGATGGGCCGCGCCTCCGCCAGGCGGTCCAGGAGCCGAGGGTCGTTCAGCAGGGCGAAAAGCAGCCGGCGCAGCACCATCGTCGCCCGCGGGCCGCCTTCCGCGCCGCCCGAGAGCCTTCGCCTATTGCGTCCCGCCTGAAAGCCGTGCGCGCTGCTCCGGGGACTGGCGTGGGCGGAGTAGTAACAGCAGCGAGAGTGCCCCCCGCCCGGCTCTCTCCGGGCGACCTTCCCGGTATGGCCCACTTCCTGTCTGCCCCGGGGCTGTCCGCCACTTCCTTCCCGGCGTGGCTAACTTGTATCCGTAAGGAAGCGGCAGAGAACCGGTGGTGGTGCCGCCCCCAGCGTTCGGGAGGTCTCTGCACTCTTTCGGCTTTAGGAAAACGGTGGGGAACGGGGGGCGGGGCAAATAAGGAACAAACAAGTTCGTTGGTTTCAATCGTACACTTCAGGGTTGTTTCTGCGGGCTCCTTTTTAGAACCGGAGCAGGCGGGGCACCTGCAGGATTTTTGGCTCGGGAAGGGGATTCCGTCCTGTCTAGGGGGCGGGGGGGGGTGTCTCCTCGAGGGTTGCCAAGCAAAGCAGCCGCCGTTTGGTGGTGTTTCCCCAGTGCCCGAGTCCCGGATATAGAAGAACGAGTCGTTTTGCGTTTCTTTGTATTAGAACTTAATAGGTTCTCTTTAAAAACATCCCACCCACTCCTTCACCCAAACCTGTTGAGGCCAAGATGTTTTTATTTAACAATGTTTTGGTTTGAGCTGTTTCTTTCGTGAGGGTAAATATATTGCATTTATCACATATATTAAATATTATTGGGTTACTTTAGTGTATTGATTATTATGCATTTATTTGTTATAATGTGTATATTTATATTTTATATTGAACATGTAATATACTGTTTATTTTGAATAAACATGTCATATTTCTATATTATAGATCTATAATTTATATATATATATAGAGAGAAAATGGACAGGACAGGAGGGCCTGTGCTTGATGGAATGCTGCTTGCAACATCAGGCCTAACAAGGGGATATGTGAAGCTTACAAGGGAACTGTGGATGGACTGAAGACCCAATGTGAAGATAAACCAACTACACCTTCTATCTCATGATCGAGAAGACCTGGAAAACAACTGGATGTGCAGCCACCCCTTGAAGCTGAGGACCCAGATTGTGGGGGCAATAAGCTGACTGTATAAATATACAAAAGTATGAAGGCTATTGCTTAACGCATTGTAAGCCGCCCTGAGTCTCCGGAGAAGGGCGGCATATAAATTAAAGCAAAAAAATAAATAAATAAAACAAAAACAAAACATTCTTACCTTCTCTTCATTACAGAGCACAGCTACTAATGTGAGGCATAAGGTTAGGGATAAGAGAGCTACAATCGATCAAGACTCATCGCAAAGGCTTGATAGCAAAGTACCATCAGATAGCACACTAGAAGATGCCAGTAGAGCCCTCGCAACAATCCCTACTACCATAATACAGAACTACAATTTGACCTAAAGTTCAACCCTTCAGGAGGGCATTGCCATTGGGAAGCCACAAGATATGGAGCTGTGGAAAATAAGAATTAATTGCATATGAGAAGTAATTTGGCTTTTTGAAGGGTGGAAGAAGATAGGGGCTGTATGTGCTCCAGTTTTTGGCAAACAATAGCAAGATGAGACAGGAACAAAGTAACGCATCTCTTTTGCTGAGCTTTTGATTTCTGAATGATTCTCTTGTGTAATTTTAAGACAATTTTAATTCTGTTAGTTATAGATTATATGTAACTTTTTTTGAGACACCTTGATGGGTAGAAGAAACAAAAGCTGACTATATATAAACTAACTTAGAAATAAATACCAAATGTAAAATTATAAATAACTATAAACATAGATTACACATTAAACCTTAGTATACTGAATTAAACACTAGGAATAAACATAGCTGTAACCTAAACTTTGAAAATCACTGTAAGGTTAATTGCTGACCACAGTTATACCATAAGCCACATGGAAGAATAGTTGTAACTGTGTGCTTGCAACACCAATACATTTGGTTTTTTTTAATTCATCAAGGTGCTTAGTTTGATAAAAACAATTCCAAGTGAAAACAGGAACATTGACATTAGTTCAAATTAAACATTGGAATAAGTTTCAGGTTGAAGCTCGTTTAAAGAGATGTACAATTATCCTGTACCTCAGATAGCCGGATGTGAGTCCCTTTTTGTGAAGTGGGGTCGTGGGGTGCAGATGGGTCTGTTGATCACGTACCTGGCTCCCTGCCACGTGGCAGCGACCCTGCCCGAACTCCTCAATGTTATAGCCGAGGTGGCGGCTGATACCCCCAGACTTGTGGTCATGGGGGATTTCAACCTGCCATCCATCGGTGAGACATCTGAGGTAGCTCGGGAGTTCATGGCTTCCATGACGGCCATGGACCTGACCCAAGTAATTCACGGCCCTACTCATATGGGGGGACACACTCTGGACTTAGTTTTTATCTCTGGTCAGTGGTTGAGTGGCCTTGATATAGGGGATGTAGCTATTGAACCCTTGTCATGGTCTGACCACTCGCTCCTTCGACTTGACTTTCTGACCGCCGTACCCCGTCGCAGGGAGGCGGAACCGACCAGGTGGTTCTGCCCCAGGCGCCTGATGGACCCTGATAGGTTCCAGATGGAGCTTGGGCCATTTCCTGAGACTCTAGCTCATGACTCGGCTGACGACCTGGTGGCCGCCTGGGATAGGGCGGCTGCCGGGGCTTTGGACCGGGTCGTGCCTTTGCGGCCTCTGACCCGGCTCCGAACTCACTTAGCTCCTTGGTTTTCCGAGGAGCTGAGGGTGATGAAGCGCCGGAAAAGACGCCTAGAGAGCGGTTGGAGGGCCAGTCGTTCCGAGTCTGACTTGACACTGGTAAGGTCTCATATTAAGACCTACCTAGTGGCGATAAAAGCGGCGAAATCTAGCTATTTTGCCGCTCTTATTGCGTCATCAGATAACCGCCCAGCCGCCCTGTTTAGGGTGACCCGCTCCCTCCTCCATCTGGGAGCGCGGGAGGACCCCTTGCAGGGCCGAGCTGAGGATTTTGTACAGTATCTGGATGATAAAATAACTCAGATTCGGGAAGACTTGGCCGCCGACTGGGTTAGTTCAGACGAGATGACTGAGGCAGGCCTTGAGAGTGTTATCTGGGAGGAGTTCGATCCTGTGGCTCCCGAGGACGTGGACAGGATCTTGGGGCGGCTGAACGCAACCACATGTTTATTGGACCCGTGTCCCTCCTGGTTGGTGCTGGCTTCCCGGGAGGTTACACGAGGCTGGCTCCAGGGGATTATTAACGCTTCTTTGAGCGAGGGTGTCCTGCCGGCCGCCTTGAAAGAGGCGGTGGTGAGGCCTCTCCTCAAGAAGCCATCCCTGGACCCGGCTGTTTTGGCTAACTATCGTCCAGTCTCCAACCTTCGCTTTATTGCGAAGGTTGTTGAGAGTGTGGTGGCGCGACAGCTTCCCCAGTACCTGGATGAAGCTGTCTATCTGGATCCGCTCCAGTCCGGCTTCAGACCTGGGTACAGCACGGAAACGGCATTGGTCGCGTTGGTGGATGATCTCTGGAGAGCCCGGGATAGGGGTTCTTCCTCTATCCTGGTCCTATTAGACCTCTCAGCGGCTTTTGATACCATCGACCATGGTATCATGTTGCGCCGGCTGGAGGGACTGGGAGTGGGGGGCACCGTTTTGCGGTGGTTCTCCTCCTATCTCTCCGACCGGTCGCAATCCGTGTTGACAGGGGGGCAGCGGTCGACCCCAAGGCGCCTTGTTTGTGGGGTGCCGCAAGGGTCGGTCCTCTCGCCCCTCCTGTTCAACATTTATGTGAAGCCGCTGGGTGAGATCATCCGTGGTTTTGGGGTGGAGTTCCATCAGTACGCTGATGATACTCAGCTGTACATTTCCACCCCAGACCATCCCAATGATGCCTTGGAAGTGATGTCCCAGTGCCTGGAGGCCGTGCGGGTCTGGATGGGGAGAAACAGGCTTCGACTCAACCCTTCCAAGACCGAGTGGCTGTGGCTGCCGGCATCCCGGTATAGCCAGCTGACGCCATCGCTGGTTATTGGGGGCGAATCATTGGCCCCCACGGAGAGGGCCCGCAACTTGGGTGTCCTCCTGGATGCGCGGCTGTCTTTAGAAGGGCATATGACAGCCGTGGCCAGGGGGGCTTTTTGTCAGGTTCGCCTGATACGCCAGTTGCGCCCCTTTCTGGACCGGGACTCCCTATGCACGGTCACTCAAGCACTCGTCACTTCTCGTCTGGACTATTGTAACGCTCTCTACATGGGGCTCCCCTTGGGGTACACCCGGAGGCTCCAACTGGTGCAGAATGCGGCTGCGCGGGGGATTATGGGAGCGACGGGGCGCTCCCATGTGACTCCTCTCCTGCGCGAGCTGCATTGGCTTCCGGTGGACTTCCGGGTGCGCTTCAAGGTGTTGGTGATCACCTTTAAAGCGCTCCATGGCTTAGGGCCAGGGTACTTACGGGACCGCCTTCTGCCACCAATAGCCTCCCACCGGCCGGTTCGCTCCCACAGAGAGGGCCTCCTCAGGGTGCCGTCGGCCAGACAATGCCGGCTGACGACCCCCAGGAGGAGAGCCTTCTCTGTGGTGGCACCTACCCTATGGAACAATCTACCCCCAGAGATACGAGTGATCTCCGACCTTCGGATTTTTCGTCGGGCCCTAAAAACTTATTTTTTCCAGTTAGCCGGTCTGTCTTGATTTTAGGGTTAGTTTTAAAATTTTAATATTGATTTTAAATTGACAAGTTTTAAATTATGGGCCAAATTTATAAATTATTTTAACTATTTTTTAACTGTGATGTTTTGTATAGATGTTTTTATCTTGGCTGTTCACCGCCCTGAGTCCGAAAGGAGAAGGGCGGTATAGAAATTTGAAAAATAAATAAATAAATAAATAAATAAATAAATCCTCCAATGGTCAGGCAAAGAGCGGTTCTCCAGGGTCCAGTAGCACAGTCCAGTAGCAATAGCACTTAGATTTATATACCGCTTCACAGTGCTTTACAGCCCTCTCTAAGTTGTTTACAGAGTCAGCATATTGTCCCCAGCAGTCTGGATCCTCATTTTACCGACTTTGGAAGGATGGAAGGCTGAGTCAGCCTTGAGCATGGTAGCTGTGCAAAGAAGGGCCTTTCCTATGGGACCGGTGCTTTAATTTCTGTCCAGAGGGGAGATTCAGAAAGGATCTGCAAGGCCATCTTAG